GGCACTCCATGCCCACCAGGTCCCGGCAGTGCCGGTGGCAGTTGATCCCACAGTCTGGAACAGAGACAGAGACGTGACCTTTGACCTCTCGGTTACACAGAATAAACAGGACGAGGAACAAGGTCCTGGTCTGAAATGAGGGATGAGGACCCTGATTCCAGGACCCTGGTCTGGGAAAGGGGATAAGAACCTGGCCCAGGACCCAGGTCCATGAGGAGTTATAAGGACCCTAGCCTGGGATGAGGACCTTGTCAAGGACCTGGGTCCAGGAGGATGAATAAGGGATGAGGACCTGGTCCACGACCCTAGTTTGGGAAAAGGGATAAGGACCCGGTCTGGTACCCTGATCTGGGATAAGGGATAAGGACTTGGTCCAGGACTCTGGTCTACAACGAGGGATACAGGCCCTAGTCTGGGATGAGGGATAAGGACCTGGTGGGCATTCCCACCAGGTCCCGGCAGTGCCGGTGGCAGTTGATCCCACAGTCTGGAACAGAGACACAGCCGTGACCTTTGACCTCTTAGGGTGAGCACCTCATGTGTTTGCTACTAGCTCTGGTTTGGATTTGGCTGAATAAACAGGATGAGGAACAAGGTCCTGGTCTGAAATGAGGGATGAGGACCCTGGTTCCAGGACCCTGGTCAGGAAAAAGGGATAAGGACTTGGTCCAGGACTCTGGTCTACAACGAGGGATTAGGACCTTAGTCTAGGATGAGGACCTGGTCCAGGACCCTGGTCTAGGAGGATGAATAAGGACCTGGTCTGAAATGAGGGATGAGGACCTGGCCCAGGACCCTAGTCCAGGATGAGGGATAAGGACCCGGTCTGGCAGCCTGATCTGGTATGAGGGATAAGGTCCTGGTCCAGGACTCTGGTCTACGACCAGGGCTTAGGACCTGGTCTGGGATGAGGACCTCGTCCTCGTGCCCGAATGTGGCCGTTTTTCTCCCGAACATACCAGTGGGGATTAGCGGGCCGTAGCTAAGGCGATCGGGGCTGAACCTGGTGTTTGTTATTGTAAATCCCAGCGTCCTGAGGGTTAATCTGGAGCAAACAGCCCACAAACAGCAGGGCCGTCCAGTCCCCGGCTGACCGGAGCCTGAGGTCAAAGGTCAGGAGAACAGGCTGAGTGGGACAGAAAAGGACCGAATCTGTACAGACACATACAGATTTTTCATCTGTAATCTGACTGCTGAAAATCCCAAATGAGGCAAGATTAACCCTCTTACTGAATCGGACCGGGTCGTCTTCCCTCCATGTTATCTTTTGGCCTATTTTGGATTGATTTGGGTCAGTTTGGGTAGGCTTTGGACCAGTTTTGGACCGGTTTAGCCCCCTTTTGGACCGGTTTCTGTTCATTTTGGGTTGATTTGGGTTAGTTCGGGTCAGTTTTGGACCGGTTTAAGTCCGTTTTGGACCAGTTTGGGTCCCTTTTGGGCTGGATTGGGTTAGTTTGGGTCGTGCCCTCAGCTCCGTGGGGTAGGAGGGGTTGAAAAATTAAGTTTTTATGTCAAATACATGCAAAATCAACAAAAAAAACTAAGAAAATGTTTTCGTTTGAAATCCATCGTTCATGTTATCTTTTGGCCTATTTTGGACTGATTTGGGTCAATTTGGGTAGGCTTTGGAACAGTTTTGGACCGGTTTAGCCCCCTTTTGGACGGGTTTGTGTTTCTTTTGGGTTGGTTTGGGTCAGTTTGACAGAATCAGGCTGCTTTTGGTCAGCTAGCTAACAACTTTTCAGAGCTGTTAGCCCTGCTAGCTAACACCAGATTCCCACGAATCTCTAAACCCTGCTTACCTTTACAGTGGTAGCCCTGTTTTATGACTCCCCAGAGCTGCAAATAGAGCAGACACAGCCC